GGACGCCTCCAATCCTGAGAATCAGAACCACCACGGCGACGGGTATAGTCCAGACCACGAGCCGGTCTGTCCTCAGCAAGCGGCGTGCGAGAAGCCTCCCGAGGCGGCGGAGAGCGCGGCCGGTCACGGGATCCCCCACGGGAGTCCAGGGGCGGCCCCTGAGCGCCACGCGCAGACGCATCCTCCCGGGCGTGGGAACCCCCACCACGCCGAGCCTCAAGATCGCGCCGGAGGGATGCCTCCCTGGCCTCATCTTCAGCCCGACGGCGAGCAGTTTCTTGGCGTCGGAGGTCGCCTGACAACCCAGCCAGCGGGAGGCGGGGATCACGAGCCGGGTCACGGGGTGGGGGCGGCCGTCGGAGGGAGGTGCCGGAGTAGGTCTCCGGCGCGCGGTCCCGGCGAGAGGCAGACTGTGAATCCGGGCGGCCTCCCGACGCGGGAAAAGGCCGCTTCGGCCGCGACTGGCCGTCGCCCTGCTCTTTGGCCATGAGGACCTCGAGGTAGGACCTGGAAGGGGAAGCGCAGGTGGAGGGTGGACAGATCGAGGGAGGCGCTGGAGCGGTCGGCACAGCCGGCGGCGTCGAAACTGGGGCAAGCGCTGGAGCGCAGGAAGGCGGCGTAGTCGGGGGAAGGATGGATCGGGCGCAGCTGCCTAATCGCTCCACCTCTCCCCTGGTAGCGGGCCAGCCCCGCCGCGGATCGGCCGACCCCCGTTGGATCCACAACCAACGCCCGGGATCAGCGGGAGCCAGGCGCCACGACCGGACCGCTAGGTCAACAGCCTCCTGGGCCGGATCGAACACCCCCACATCCCCCTGGGCCAGTTGCCCCACACCGAGGCCCGACAGCGCACGAGCCCGTGCCCGAAGGCCAGTCCAAGCCCTCGAAGGCCGGCCCACCTCGCAGGCCAGCGTCGGCCCACGAAGCAGAGCCGCCCTCGCAGGTCCCGACCAGGCGCGCATCCCCTCCGTAGGGTTAGCAGCCGCCGCCGGCGGCTGGCCCCGAGGGCTCCGTCGAAACCCACGAGCGCGGACCCCAGATCGGAAGGCATCTGAGCCAGGAGCCCGTGGCGCAGCCGGAGCCGCCCACGGACCGGCGAGCGCACCCAACATCGCCTGGAGCCTAGTTGCTCGAGGCAAAGAAGGGGACGCCGGCGCCGCCGCGCCCGCGGGCGCCGAACCCCGACGCCGGGATGGCCGCGCCAATGCCAGGAACTCACCAAGAACCGGCGGCGCCAAAGACACAGGACGCTCCACCCGGCCATGTCCCGGACGCTCCACGCGGTCATCTTCCCCGTCGGCCTCGGCCATGTCAGCCCAGGAGACAGCGGAGCGGCCTATGCGCAAGGTCGGAGCCGGCCGCGACCCAGCGGAGCCGAGCCCAAACGGCGCGGCCACACCAGCGGCAACCATCACGCCGGCGGCGGACGCAGGCGCGAGGCACAGCGCCGGCGAATTCAAAATCGCCCCAGCGCCCTGTCGCCAGTCCTCACAGAGTTCTATAATTGACCCAGTTGATTGAGTTTGGTACTTGGTAGGACTCCTCGTCTCACAAAAATCCAAGCCTTTGAATTATGAAAATCTTCATATCGGTCATCAATCTGCAATATGTGTGTCATTTAGATCGTCAAACTATTTTAGAAGTGCCACATATATAGGTCCTCGAACTATTTCATAGGTGTCAAATAAGCATACACTTATTTCACTTTAAAGAATCTTCAAAGACATGGATCACATTTTTAATTCTCGCAAAAAAATAAATCACATTTTTAATAGTTCGAAGGCCTGTGTGATACCTCTGAAATAGTTTAAGGACCTAGGATGCACTTTACTCTAACGAGAGGCTATGGTTGCCGCACGTGAACACGCTGTCTTAATTTGCGTCAGGGCTACTTATGGCCCCGTACCGATTCTTAATTTGCAACACTAGCAGGACAACCCATTTCTGCGGGCGTAGGTTCGCTCGGCTTGTAGCTATAGTTGTAGGTCCGCTTTACTTCGGGTCTTTTATCTTTTTGTTTTATTTTTCTGCTTCATTCATTTTCCTTGTTTTTAACTAGCTTTCTTTGGTTTTCCTTTTTTCCTTTTACTTTAGGTTTCTTTGTTTTCTCATTCGTTTTTTTTTTGCTTTTTCTTTATTTGTTATACTTTGTTTTCTTTTGTTTCTTTCCTGTTTTTCTTCGTTTTTTTGGTATTTTTTGCTTTTCATTTGTTTCTTTGTCAGATATATTAGGAACTTTGTTTTACAAATATTTATTTCTTTCAAAGACATGATTAACATTTGTCGGCTATTCGTTTTTCATACACATATAAACATTCTCTTATAATGTTTCACATTTTTCAAATACGTTATTACAAATACATGCTTTGAATGTTTTTTCAAATACATGTTAAACATTTTTTAAATACATGTTGGAACAATTTTTTAATCAGAAAAACATTTTCTGTACTATGCAATGTTTTTACACTGTACAAACATTTTTTTGTAAAAATGTTTCCAATAATTTTTCTGAAATTTTGGAACAATTTTGAATGTAACATAATTTCTTTTAATTACAAGAACATGAATTTACAACATATAAACATTATTCATACACATGATTAAAAGTTTCTACCTTTTTATTCACATGTCCATTTTTCGTATATATGCAAAGTATTTTTCTATAGATGTTTCACATTTTTCAAATGCAAGATTAATATGTTCAAAAATTACGTACACTAATTTTTGTAATATATATTCAGAAAAATATGGCAGGATAATATGTGTTATAGGTTGATGGAATAAGGTGGACGCAATACATGTATCAAAACATATATAAGGGACAAAATTATCCTAACTAACCTCTATTCCTAAGTTGTGTACATCGGCGGCGCTTATCAGAAGAAGCAGATTGGTTTATTTCAGGTGTGACAACTGGTTGTGACTGACGGCTTATATGTCTTAATGGCTACCACATTTCATAGAAGAATTTGCGGCGATATCGATATTTGCAAAGCATGCACAAAAAATGGCCTTAAATGGAAGCAGATTGTAGCCTATATGTCTTAACAAGTATATCGCAGAAAAAAAATCCAGGGTATGAAATTCATATGGTATCTAATATGCATGGAAACAAATGGATGCTGCATATGTTCGCATAGCAATGGAAGAAGCAGGAGACCACTGCCAAAATGAAATGAAGCCAATCCGAGGAGCAAGATACCTACTAAACAGAAGTTGAAGCACATGTCGATCTGGAGAGCAATCTGCAAAATATTTACAAATAAGTTGGGGGATAGTAGAAATCTTGGGTGACTGAAAAGAGGAAGCGTGCACCAGGAGGAAAATAACTACAATGTAAATGAACAAATAAATTAGTAAAATGATGATATTGGCTTTTGTACTATGTCCATCCTAAATGAAAACATGTGCAGCTCCCATCGCTAACCAATTTGTGTAAGCATGTATCATACTGAATAGCAATTTTATGAAATAACAATCTGAAAGAAATGTAAGGGGCAAGCGATATGTGGAAGTAATGTAGCCAATGTGAGCAGCAAAATACCTACACGCTCAACATCCTTTCATCCCTAGCCAAGCCTGAGAAATTGGAAAGCATAATCTTGTGAGGATAGAAATACTCAGGGAGGGCTGAAAAGAGGGAGTGTGCACCTACTAGGGCAGAAGTCGGTTCTCATACGTGGATGTGAACAGGTGTTCGTGGTCAATGAGTATGGCAGTACAGAGGGGTTATAAACACATCTTTGCCCGCATTTGCAGGGCAACGAAGTAGAGATAATGAGGGCTAGAAATTAAGTGCCGTGCGGCCGTTACATGTACATTTGTGGCATGAAGGTGGAAGAGATTGCAACATAAAAGCGGGGAAGACGAACGAATTATGTGGAGCAGCGGAAGGGTTGGCGGTGGTCTGGCGGGGGTGCATTGGGCGCGGCGGCTTAAGTCACCTGCGGTGACTGGACATGAGGAGCATAGACTGTGGCGGCAGCACTGGTATAGCGTGGACGTGGCGGCGCCTTTTTCCCGCATCTTTGGTGAGTAGTAGCATCTTGAATGGTAGTTGCCTATGGGCTTCAAATGGGCTTCTTAGTGGCCAAATCTTGCGCCTAGCCCAAAAGATGGTGTCGGGGGCCAGCACCGAGCGGTAATAACGAAACGGTGTGTTAAACTCGGCGGTGGGTACCGATCTTTGCTGCATCAACGACTGGAACAATTCGGGTGATGTGGCTTCATGAGAAGGCAGGAAAATCACCTAGTGGGGTGCCTCTATTTATATATAGAAGACTTGACCAACACTTGATCGGACGGCTGTAGACTACCGATCTATGTTGCATCAACGGCTAGAACAATTCGGGTGACGTGGCTTCATGAGAAGACATAGAAATCATCTAGTGGGGTGCCCCTATTTAGATATAGAATATTGGTCACCTTGCATGATTCAAAAGGTATTGCGGGCCAAGATAAATAATAATGGCCCTCAGGGCCTTAGAGAAGAATTTGGTGAATGTTATTAAGTAGAAAATTAATTTCTGCTAAAATAAGATAGTCCCGCCATTCCTAAGTATAAACCTTTTAGAGATTTCAATATGAACTACATACGAAGCAAAATGAGTGAATCTACATTCTAAAATGTATGTATATACATCTGTATGTAGTCTATATTAAAATCTCCAAAAAGAATTATATTTAGGAACGATGGGAGTACATATTTAATTCCACCTCAATGAATGTAAAGATTTTTTTTGGAGGGAATTAAATGTTTATTTTGTTGCTACAATTTGAAAAATTAATGAGCATATATATCTTGTAGTATTTACCTAATTTATAGGAAAATATTTTTAGTAGGAGTATATTTCCCATTAACTTTGGTGAGTACTGAATACACATTTATTGCACACCAAATATTTATAGATATATCTCTATATATAGCTTGCATCTTTCGATGCTCTCACATAAATATATCTGCAAAACTTTAGTTGTCAGCCTGAGCTAGAGCACCAACAATGGCGAAGCACACTACCCTCCTCCTCGTAGCAATAGTAGCCAACCTTCTCACTGCCACCGCCGCTACCCTGGTCAAGGCCCCCGCCCCCACAGCCAACAAGCCGACGGCGTACGAAATGCTAGGGCGATATGGCTTCCCACCGGGCATCCTCCCGGTGGGAGTGCATGACTACGAGCTCCGACCGAACGGCTCCTTTGAGGTACACTTCTCCGATGAATGCAAATTTCGTGTTGACGGCCAGTACGACGTCCACTACAGCACCCGGGTCACCGGGAACATAAAAAATGACACGATCAGCGGCCTCGAAGGCATTAAGGTGAAGGTCTTTATTGCGTGGGCCAGTATAAAGGAGGTTGGCCGCGATGGGGATGAGCTTAGGCTGCACGCTGGGATCATATCCAAGTCATTCCCGGTCGGCGATTTCTCCTCTAGCCCTAAGTGTAACTGAGGCTCGACTCCAAGATCAACACAAGTCTTCGATCACGTCGCTTGACGTTTCCTTCTTTCTTCGTAGGATTGATGATGCACATTGCTGCTTGTTTTCCAATCCCGTGCCATCTTACCAATTAATGTACTGCCATTGTAGTATGGGCAGAATGAATGATATATATAAAGAAGTGCCTTTTGTTCATGATTGCAAAATTCATTTGTGAGATTTCAATTAACGAGGTGCTGGACAGTGAATGTGTTATCTGATCAGAGAAGGCATGATGGTATTGTGGCACAAAAGAAACTGTCACTTAATTAGCTCTTAGCATCATCTTAGATATAATTGGATTTGCTTTCGATCTTGAAGATAGCTTACCACATTTCGCATGTGGTGTCTTTTTTTTTTGAGGAAACTTATTGGTAGAACCAGGGGTCCTACCGGACCTGCTCTGGAGGTTGTAGGGGAAGGATGGAGCAGGGCGTGGCGATGAGCGGGCGCGCCGGCGGCCAGGCGCCGTCGCGTCGGAGGAAGATGGCGGCGGCGGCTAGGGTTAGAGGCGGCTAGGGTTCCGGCTCCTCTGGGAGCCGGGCAACAGGAATAATAATATTCTTATTGCTTAATCTCAAAAAGATTCTTACAACATATATTTATAACCTAGATAACTTGCATACGAATTAACCTAAGATAATTTGTGGGCTAAGATTGCCCGATGGGCCTTTTACGGCCGTAGGCTAAACCGGTCATAACACTTCTCCCCGCCTGCACAAACAACTTGTCCTCAAGCTGTAAGGTGGGGAAGCGCTTGCTGAACTTCTCGAGGTGATCAACCAGCGTTAAACACCTTCTCTACAGCTGGGGCGGCCAGGTCGGCGGCGACGGCGTCCTCTGAAATGTAGTCTGTAACCTCCAGGTAGAAGAGTCGCGGGCAGGCATGGCCGGGCGTGTAGGGCTCGTCGCAGTTGAAGCACAACCCTTGGCGGCGACGCTCGAGTAGCTCGGCGAGGTGAGCCGGCGGAATGGGCGCGCCACGATCGCGGCGAGGGGTGCCGCGGAAGCCTGCGCAGGCCGACCCTGCACGGAATCCGGCCCGGGTAGCGACCCAGCGGTCCGGGACAGTGATGCCTGCTGGATGGCCACCGCGCGGTGCTCGAACGCGCGGGCGTAGTACATGGCCGACTGGAGATCCTGGGGTCCCCGAACTTTCACGTCCACGCGGATGTGATCCGGAAGTCCACCGATGAAGAGGTCGGCCCGCTGCTGCGCCGTCACGCCCGATGCATGGCACGCCAGGGCCTGGACGCGGGCGGCGAAGTCCTGCACCGTGGAGGTGAAGGGAAGGCGACCAAGCTCCACCAAGCGGCTTCCGCGGACCGGGGGCCCAAAGCGAAGGAGGCAGAGCTCGCGGAAGCGCTCCCAAGGGGGCATGCCGCCCTCGTCCTGCTCGAGGGCATAATACCATGTCTGTGCCACGCCGCGGAGGTGGTAGGAGGCGAGCCAGGTACGGTCTGATGCGAGGGTGCGCTGCCCGCGAAAGAACTGGTCGCACTGGTTGAGCCAGTTGAGGGGGTCCTCCGTGCCGTCATAGATGGCAAAGTCGATTTTGGCGAACCGCGGCGGTGTCTGCGCCGGAGCACCGTGTCGAACTGGGAGCAGGGCGGCCGGTGGCGCCTGGTCAGAGTACTCCGGGTGGCGACCTGCGGTGCCGGGTGGCGACTTGCGGTGCCGGATGGCCCGTCAAACTGCGGGAACGGGGTCGGCTGTGCAGAAGCCGTGGTGTAGATCGGCGATGGAGAAGACCCAGCCGCCCACGCTGGTATTGGTGATGAAGAGGGCGGGAACTGGACCTGGTTGATGGGCAGGCCGGTCGGAGCGGCGGACGACAGTCCGGCGCTGGGTAGAGGTGGCGCCTGGAGCTGCAGCGGCTATTGCGTCTGTTGTGGGTACCGGCCAGACGCGGCGGAAACCCGTGTAGAAGTCGGCGGCCACGGCGGCCAGAGCTAGCCCGCGGCTAGGGACTGCTGGAGGTGCAGCAGCGGCGGAGGCCCGCTGGTATAGCCCGCCTGGAACGGCAGCAGGGGCGGTCCACTTGGGCCAGACGCAGCCTGGAGCGGCCAGTGCGTCACCGGGTGGCTGTAGGCAGGGGCGCAGCCGGCGGGGTGGTGTACGGGCTGGCCAGGTACAGGGAGATGCCCTGGACGGCCGTCACGAGGTCCCGCAGGATGTTGGTCATCTCCGCCGGCGTGAAGACTGAGGTTGTCGGCGGTGGCGCGGGGGAGACGGGAGCCGGCGGCGTTGGGGCCCCCGCTGTGGCGCTTGGCCCCAGCAGCATCGGAGCTCCATTGGTGGTCATCGGGGGGAGGGGGGGCAGCGACGCGGTGGTGCCGGAGGGCAGCGACGGCGTGGGTGATGGAGAAGACATGGTTGAACCCGAGTCTCTGGATACCAAATTGGTAGAACCAGGGGTCCTACCGGACCTGCTTCAGAGGTTGTAAGGGAAGGATGGAACGGGGCGTGGCGATGAGCAGGCGCGCCGGCGGCTGGGTGCCATCGCGTCGGAGGAAGATGGCGGCGGCGGCTAGGGTTAGAGACGGCTAGGGTTCCAGCTCCTCTGGGAGCCGGGCAACAGAAATAATAATATTCTTATTGCTTAACCTAAGATAACTTGTGGGCTAAGATTGCCCGGTGGGCCTTTTACGGCCGTAGGCTAAACCGGTCATAACACTTATGATCTATTAATCATGTCATGTCAGCATTGGAACGAGCCGAAAGCGCACCGCCGTCATCGCCCCTCCTTCACCGGAGTCAGGCCAAAAAATTTGTATTGCAGTCGAAAAGTCATGGTGCTAAGGCCCCACATGACTAACACACCAGAACAACAACCGTCGCCTATGAAGAGAAGTATAGATCGAAAGGATACAACGTGAAGACACAGGAACGAAGATGAACACAGACTGGATCCATGCAGATCCACCAAACACTACCACCGGTTGAATCTCATGAGACCTGCCGGAGACACACCATCACGTGCCCTTCGATGACGCGAGATGCATCACCGAAACGGGGGATAGGCGGGGAGAATATTATTCCATCTTTACGGTGATACCTTCGCATCGTCTTCCTGAGTAAGACACAAACCCTAAACAAACTCATAAAACCCCTAAAAATGGGGCAAGATCCCTCCTACCGGCAAGGGCCATGGTCCACCACTCCGTCATATAGATATTGATAGATACTTGCATACAGATACTGACAAGCACATGTTGGTGTGTTACCTTGAAAAATTAAACGTAGCTACACACCCCATCTATTTTAAATTAATTTAAAATTTAAATTTGTCCTAACTGAAAAAAACTGACCAAAAAATCGACACCTACAACATCAATTTCTAAAATATATGTCCGTACTGTATATATTTGATGGTGTATATTTTAGCACATGTTTCTGTATACTTTGTCAAAAGTTTATCTTGGAATATATCTAGATCTTTAATTAATTTGAAATTGGGTAAGTAATATTTAATGCTTGCATGCAGTGGCGGAGCTTGGGGATTTTTTTTCTTTAGAAAACGTCGTGGTAATGGGCTGATTCAATTTCATTCCTAAATATGTTGGCCAATTGGCAAGCGGTACATTTGTCCTTATGAGCTGGTGGGGCAGCCAAGATTGGTCTAGAATGTCCGGCACAGCTTGCATGCCTCAAAGAAATGAGTTGATGAAATATAATTCCTTAAAAAAATTAAATACAATTGAGAGCGGTGTGAAGAGGGGTAAATCATATTCCGCGAGTAAGGCTGTGTGTGTCAACATAAACACGCATTTCCCATGATTATATGGGCCAGCCCACTCGAGACACTGTGTTGTTTCCTGCTTCTGCTGTGACGAATATCGCAGTTTAGTTGGGCTTTTCTGTTCTTGTTATTTTTTTCTCTGGCAATTTTGTTTGGAATTTGTATTTTCTGTTTATTTAAATTATCGATTTTCCATTTTATATTTTGACTTGTGAACACCTTTTAAATTATTAATTTTTCCAAATTATCAAATCTTTTGAAATTCATGACATTTTTAAATGCTTCAACTAAAGTTGGAGATTTTTTTAGTTCATGAACATTTGTTTTTATAAATTGTTTAAATTGATGAACATTAATAATTTGCAATTATTTTCATATTGGTGTGCTTGTTTTCCAATTTCATTATTTTGTAAAAGAAATGTGAACAGCTTTTGAAATTCATGAACATTTTTTAAATTCTTGAGTACACTGGTGGAAAAAGGGCCTTTGGTCGCGGTTCGCAACTGCCATTAGTCGCGGTTGCGCAACCGCGACCGAACGGGCGCGACTAAAGGCCCCCCCCCCTTTAGTCGCGGTTGCTTAAGAACCGCGACTAAAGGCCCGTCCACGTGGGCGCCAGGTGGCCGTCGGGGCGGAGGACCTTTAGTCGCGGTTCTTCTGGCCAACCGCGACTAAAGGCCGCCGCAGGTTTAGGGTTTTAGCCCCCCCCCTTAAACCTGTTTTCTGTTTAATTTGTATTGTTTTATTTCTTTTGTGCTTTATTTTAATTTTGAAGGAGTTTCATATATTCTACGGTACTACATACATGCATATGAATGTACAATTTCAAATAAATTTGAAATTAGAACCAAAAAGAATTCAAGAGGAATATACAATATATATTCAATATCATCGGATGACCATATACAATTTTGAACAAGTTTCCATACATGATTTAATGCATATAAAGTTCTACGTCCTCGTAATAGTGTTCTCCTTTAGGATGGAGGACTTCCCTGCTGAACCATCCAGCTAGTTCCTCTTGAAGTGGTCGGAAGCGAGCTTCTGGACTAAGCATCCACCGGAGGTTATTTCTCTGAGCATTGGTATCACTCGGAACCCGCTCAGAGGTGTATCTCCGGATCATCTCACAGACATAGTATCCACATAGATTGGTCTCCGGTGGCTGAATATCCCCAGCATTCTTAGCCTTTAACATTTTGAATTCTAGCTCTTTTTTGAATTCACCGAC